GTTACACAAACCATTGCGTCAGAAGCACCTGTATACAGCGGCTGGCGGAGGCAGGGTTGGAGGCCAGAGAAATCATGTCCGTTAGCGGACATAAAAACAAGTCATCGCTTCGCAGCTCCTGGGCTCCATCTCTAGACAACAGAAAGATGTGGACCAACGCGCTTTTTGCCGGTCCGGGACACGCCATGAAACGGCCACTGGAGGAAAGCTCTTCCTATAACGTAGTCCTACCCGTGAACACCACAGCACCAACTGCAAAAAAGTCTGGCATGGAGTTCATGGAGAGCTGTTTCAGGAATGCACTTTTAATGGCAGCATGAACATCCACCTTCATTCTGAACCCAAAATGTTTCAGCACCATGGACAGCCTGATTTGATTTGTTCCGCTAATCCCACACAGTGATTACTCAGATATTTAAATAGCCTAATTCAAGAATTGTTTTCAATAAATTGTTTTCAATAAATTGGTTAATAATATATTATTTACTATAATTATATCAATAACTGTAAGCGGGGTAGCAGGAGTGTTTGATCGGCTATCGTTACCATGGGAACTACTTTCTAGGAACTACTTTCTGACGGAGATTAAATCAAGCAGAAAGCGTAGGTTTGGGAGCAAATTAGCCCACATTATGAAATTATTTTACGATATTGTTGATTACAATGATAGTTTGTGTAATAGAATCGCAATCATACACTTGAGGCCGTTCTTGAACGTCATTATTGGTACTCCAGTACAGGTGTACGGACCTCGGCGCTTGCCGCAGTACTGTCGTACCAATAATGACGTTCAAGAACAGCCTCTCGTGTATGATTGCTTAATTAACACATTTGCTATGAGACTGTAATACTTATTTTGGTAATTTTGGATTCATTTACGGTAGTTTTAGTTAGAATCATTAGCAGGACATGGACTCAACCAAAAATACAAACACAGACGCATTATCACAAAGACACACCGCCACACACAGGCTGTTACATGTACATTTACAATAGACAGCGCATGCAGACACACACACTCACTGGGAGGCAGAGGCTCGTCCACACGTTGGTATCGGTGGATGTCATGACGCACAGAAGGAAGTGAACGTACAGGATGGCCATTAACGTGAGAGCCTGAACACAGAAAACACACAAAAGACAAAATACTTTTATTTTTAATATAAGGAAAAGAAGCATGAAACACCTTTTGAGCTGTTAAATCCAGCCATGACCCAAATAAATGACCCTTCTCTTAAGATGAAGTCATCTATAGTTGATTACCTTCCTCTCCATCTGTTTCTGTGGAGTCAGCAGAGCCCGCCTCCTCGCAAGGTTTAGTCTCCTCCCCTTCCTGTGTTTCGGCCACGCCCCCTGCAGCCTGCAGGCTCAGCCTCCTCACACTGAGCTCCTCCCCCATCTGCTCGGTGACTGGGGGGGGCTCTCCTGCAGCCTCAGATGGAGCGACCTGCCCACCCCCTTCATCATCCACAGCTTGATTTGTAGGAGGGGTTCCCGAAACCACGTCTCCCCCCGGATCTATGGCCGTCTCCGCTCCTTCCTCCGCTTCCTACAAACATACAATGTTAAAATGTGTAAAAACACAACACAACAAAACCCTCAAAGAGGAGAGTTTATAAAAAAGTCTCGTCACCCAGGACTGGGTTTCATATTGGTCAGTCTCATACACATTAATATGCAAAGCATTCAGAGCCACTACTACAAAGTATCTGTGAATTACAGAGAGTCAGTCAACCCAACAGCAGCTCACAACATGAGGCAGCATCTGCTCCATCACCAAGGCAAATAAAAGGAAGTGAAAAACGACAAATGTAAATGTACATGTGTTGGTGTGAGTGCTTAAAGCTCACCTATTGTGCTATATTTGAACAATATATTATAGGGCCATATCTATACAAAACATGTCTCTGAAGTGTTTTGCTCAAAATACCAAACAGATTGTAGCATGCCTCATATGCCTCTATTTCAGCCCTGTTACTAAAGTGCTGATTCTGGGTCTGGCCCTTTAATCTGTTAAGCCCCAAGCCTGTTTTTCAGGTCTCATGCTCGAAAATGACATTCTCCAGAACAAATTATTATAACTGTCAGGGTTGGGGAAAAATAGGACCCAAATGCAGATTGAGGAGGAAGCAGGTTTCAAAAGGAAACAAAAGGCGAGCTTTATTTAACAAAAGCTGAACAAAAACAAGAATCCAAGAACAGGTACGAGGTAGCATCCAAACAAAGGTGACTGTGACCAACATGAAGGGGGACATGAACGACAAACAATGAACCAACACTGAACACAGGAAGATACAAGACTAAATACAGGGAGGGGTAATCACGAGACGAGAAACAGACGGGCAGGGGAGGA